TTGCAGATCACCCGGGACAGAGCACGGCGCACCATCACCCTGACTCAGTCACACATGGTGCAGCAGGTCCTTCAGCGCTTCGGCTTCACGTGGTCCTCACCACAGCCCACTCCTTTGTCTACCGGCCACTCGCTCTCAGCTCCACCTTCGGACGAGTCCGTAGAGCCGAGTGGTCCGTACCCAGAGCTTGTGGGTTGCCTCATGTACCTGATGACGTGCACACGTCCTGACCTCGCGTACCCTCTCAGCCTCCTGGCTCGCTACGTGGCACCCGGTAGACACCGAAAGGTGCACTTAGATGCTGCGAAGAGGGTATTGCGTTACTTGTGCAGTACATCGGGCATGGGGCTCGTGCTTGGAGGACGGGGTTCAGTGGTACTCACAGGACACTCTGACGCTTCTTGGGCCGACGACCAGACGACTCAGCGTTCGTCACAGGGTTACACCTTCAGTCTTGGCTCTGGTTCTGTCTCGTGGAGGTCCACTCGTTCTTCTTCTGTGCTTGGCTCCAACTGCGAGGCCGAGATCTACGCTGGGGCCATGGCTGCACAGGAGCTACGCTGGCTGACCTACCTGCTGACCGACTTGGGGGAGCGGCCTCGTTCTCCTCCAGTTCTGTACGTCGACAACAAGGCAATGCTTGCCTTGTGTCGCGAGCAGAGACTGGAGCACAGAACGAAGCACATTGCTCTTCGCTACTTCCTTGCGCGTGAGCTGCAGCAGCGTGGTCAGTTGCGCCTTGCTTACGTGGCCTCTCGGGCCAACACTGCTGATGTCTTCACCAAGGCCCTTGGGTCTGGTGATCATCACCGTTTCTGCACTGCTCTTGGGCTTGTGCCCACTCTGCCTCACCTGCTGGTTGCTTGACTTGCTCTTGTTGTACTCTGATATATATCTTCATACCTGCTTGTTTACTCTTGCTAGGTTGTGATCAGTGTACTGCCTTGCTATTATAACTCTGCATGTGAACTAGCCTTGTGGCCGCCTGCTTGTGCTCAGATTGTGTGGTGTCCTTGAGATCCACCCTGAGCTTTGATTTGCTTTGCTTGTTCTCTTGCTTGACTGGTCTTGTGGCCGTCTGTTGTGTTTGCTATCTCCCACTTAGCCTATGGGGGTGTGTCAAACTATGTGTTTGTGTTCTCTCTAGGCTATAGTGGGTTAGCCTACAAGGGGTACAACACTTTAGGGTTAGGTACTTGTACTCATGCATGCTACCTAGTCCACCCTTACCTGCCTGCTTATTCTAACACGAGGTCGGTGAGCAAGAAGTTCAACCAGCAAAGCTCTTGCGCAGCCATGGCACCAGCGTAGATCTCCACGACACAGCACTAGACCAAGCTGAAGCAGTACCACTGAGCAGATCTGGAGGTCTCCACGTCGTCGGCGTAGGAAGAGTCGCAGTGACCGGTCTGTACAACTGGCTCTGTCCCTCCAAGCACAAGCCCCATGCCTGATGTAATCGCCAGGTACTTCGTTACCCTCACAGCAGCCGCCCAGTGAACAGGACGGTGTCTCCCAGTCGCAATAAAGCGAGTCAATACGCTCAGAGGAAAACCGAGGTCCGGACGAGTACAGGTTATCAGGTACACGAGGCAACCTACAAGCTCTGCGTAGGTCAAAGGGCTCGTCAGGAAGAGGAGCGGTGAGTCCGTGGTCAACGGCAAGAGGAGTGGGACGTGTGGTTGAGAACTGAAGCCCGAACCGCTGAACGACCTGCTGCACCATGTGTGATTGAGTTAGTGTGATGGTACGAGCGGATCTGTCCCTGGTTGCAAGCCAAGGTAGCGGCGCAATTCACAAAGGTTAGTGCACGTGTGTCTCTTCTGCAGTTCGGACTTCACAAAAGCTAGAGCAACTCTGTCTGCTGTAGCGAAGATCAAGTCGTCGACGTAGAGGAGGACGAAGAAAGGAGTGGAGCCAGACGAACGAACGGCGACGGGTTGGCGGACGAAGGACTGAAACCAAGGCCAGCAAGTGTGGAGCGAAGATTGTCGTGCCACTCACGCGGCGCCTGGCGGAGACTATAGACTGGTCGTCTCAGGCTCCACTGGGTCCCAGGCGGGAAAGTACCAGTGAAGCCAGGAGGACGGCGCAGTCAAATCTCCTCGTGCAGGTAGCCCTGGAGAAAGGCAATGGAGAAGTCCAGAGTGTGCAGCTCGTAGTCTCGATGTGCTGTAACGTGAAGTAACACCCAAGGAGTGGTCATCTTCGGGGTCGGGGAGAAGGTCTGGAAGAAGTATACTCCATCACGCTGACTGAAACCTCTCGCCACGTAGCGCACCGTGACGTAAGTGCCTGTGGATATCCAGACGCCATTTTTTAGTACATGGCCGCTATCCACTGAGAGAGCCACTGCCCTGACACAGCCTCATGGTACGTGCGAGGAGTCGGTATGCAAGGGCGTCGGGGTCTCCCTCATGGGCTAGCAGTATGGCACAAAGATGGGGAGAAGTGGCTGTCAAGAACTCCAGCTCAAACCGCCTATCCTCTAGGACGTCACAACGAAGGGCACACTCACCCTCGGCGGACAGAGGATGGGTAGGAGGAGCAGCCACCACACGGGTGGCGCAGTCAAGGCGGTGGGTGGCGACAGCCGCAACAAGAGCCGAGACTGACGACGAAGAGGCTCGAGGGTCCGTGACAAGAGAGGCGAGAACACGTGAGACAACAGAACGAGCAGTACGGTAGTAGTCAGTGATAGGGTGAGAGGAGGCTGTAAGGGACGACGCTGGAGGTGATGGGAGAACAGACTGAGGTGAAGAACGAGGAGGACTAGAACAAAGCAAGACAGAGCAGATGTCATCAAAAGGAGACGAGGAACAAGCACGCGAGGGAGGACAATTGGTCTAGAAGTGCGGGACAACAGGAGGAGAGAGCTGTGACTGAGTAGGAGCGGAAATAGCCGGGGACGTGTCCGGAGGAGGAAGCATAGGACCGTAAGTAGAGGGAGACGGTGAGCGGTCAGGAGGAGAGGAAGGAAGACCCAGGGCCCGAAGGCCACTCACAGGTGGAAATAACTGCTGTGAAAGTGGCGGCTGCTGCTGCTAATGCTGCAACTCCTGCTGCTGCTGCTCCAGCTCCAGCCTCTCCTGAGTCAACCTCTCCTGCTCCTCACGCTCCAGCCGACGAAGAGCCTAGTGACGCGTCGGGTAGTGGTGGGGGGGTGGAGTAGGCGCCGCAGTAGCAGTGCCCCCGGCTCCAGCCCCCTCAGAACTAGCACCTCTAGTTCCAGCACATGCAGCTCTAGCACCCTCAGAACCAGCACCTCCAGCGCCCGTGCCTCAAGCACCAACACCCCCAGAGTCCACTGCAACCTGTCGCGGTAGTGCCAAAGGCTGTTGCGGTGACTGTGAGGACGAATGTGGGCAAGGAGACGACACCTGACTTGCTACCGAGCGGAGAGGGGTAGCGTGAGACACACCTGACGGAGCAGGGCCTGGGCGGGGTGGGTGTACCGGAGGAGCAGGACCAGGAGGAGGAGTGGGAGCTACGAAGAGGAGAGGGGGGGGAACCGGGAGACCTCAGTGGGGGTAGGGGGCGTAGTAGGACACATACTTGTCAAAACGGACGTCACGGGAGTCAAGGAACCGGTGGAGGGGCGGGTGGTAAAACCTGAAGTCAGGGGCGTCCACCGGGAAACAGGGAAGACACAGGGGAGGGCGCGAGCTGAGAGCTTGCCCGCAGAGGTATCGCGGACATGCGTAAGGCAGCTCCAGACACGAAACTCCGACGCAACACTACGGGACCCGGTCCAAAGACTGGTTGGTGAAGCCTCTGGTCGTGAGACACGAGGCCATATGTTCAGCTGGTGGGCGGTGTAGCGAACCGCGTAGGGCCACAAAGAAGGAACTTGGCACAAGAGAAGCAGTAAAGGTGGGGAGCCGTGGGACAGTACACCCCTGAAAGATCTGGGGAACTACGGTGGCAGAAGTGGAGGCAATGGAGCGGATGTTGCTCCCGATGTCCTTGACAGATGTCTCAAGGACGTCGATAGTGAACGCACTATGGTGCTTCCGAAGAAGCGCGTCACGTACAGGTGCAAGGCTGCCAGGGAGGCTAGTGAAGATGAAGCGAATAGTGATGTGCATGGGCGAGGGGGGCGAGTGCAAGCTCAACCTCGGTACAAGCAGCACGGTAGCTGACGTCGAGCGAGCCCAGGTGGGTGACAAGGTCAGCAGTACGGTCAAACAATCCTAGGTCGGGAAATAGAAACGGCCTGAGGAGGCGACCAAGAGAGGCAGAGTAGGGAGTGGAGTAACGAGTCTTTATCGCAGCAAACAAATCCTTGGTAGATCGAACCAGGCTGGAGTGGGCTTCCTCTGTCTCGGGGAGAAGGCTGGCGCGAGCAATACGAGCCGCATCATCACGGAACTGCCACACCGACAGAGCTGTACGGGCCTTATCAAAGCGCTCCCGTTCTGCGTCAGTAGGCTCATCAGGCAAGTCAGCATGGCGCGGAGGTGAAGGTAGGTCACCAGAGGCGTGCGCCCAGAGCGTGCCATTATCCTGGCGCTGGCTCTGGAGGTACAGCTTGGTGCGGAGGAGACAGGTGGGGAAGTCTAGCGCTCTACCCTCCGCATCAAAACGCAGGACTCACGTGGACACCATAGCGAGCGTGCTATTGGACTGGGAGCGAAAGGCTAGGAATGGCCGGAGCTAGAGGCGAACGAAGGGCGAACGGCGCCAGAAAAAAGGGGAGTCTAGGAACGGTCGGAGTAAGTAGCGAACAAAGCCAGAGTGGCTAGACTAGGAGTGGCGTGCAAGCCCTAAAACTACACTGTGGAGGAAACCCTAAGAACAACGCCCTAAGAACGAAGGCAGTAACTAAGATAGGATGCGACCTCCAGCCGCTGCAAAAAATGTCACCAAGAGCACGGGCCGGTAGGGGAGGCTGCAGTAGATGCGTGTAAGGGGACAGTCGCGGACAGCTGCAGCTGCAGGCGCGGTAGGTGCTGCACGGGCGATTGCTGCTGTGCGTGCGGCAGAGGCTGCGCGTGCGGCTAATGCTGCGCGTGAGGCAGCTGTTGCACGTGCGGTTGCTGTTGCGCGTGCTGCAGAAGCTGAGTGTGCGGCTGCAGTTGCGCGTGCGGGTGCTGTTGTGCGCGCGCGGCAGATAGTGCGCGTGCAGCCGCGCGTGCGCGTGCGGCTGCTGCTGCGCGCGCGACAGCTGTTGCGTGGGCAGCCGTGCGTGTGCGGGTGCGCGTGCAGCTGCGCGTACGGCTGCGCGTGTGTGCGGCTGCGCGTAGGCGTGTGCAGCTGCGCGCAAGCAGCTGCGTGCGCGCAGCTGCGTATGCTGCTGTGCGCGGCTGCGTGTGGGCAACTGCGCGCGTGCGTGACTGTGCGCAGCTGGCTGCGTGCGGGGCGGGACGGGTAGCGGGGCGTCACGAGACGGGACGGGTAGTGGGACGGAAACGGGATGTGACGGGTAGTGGGACGGGACGGGACGGGCTAAGCTAGGGTCCTAGGGTCCTAACTCAATGATACGGTACCATCTCAAAGTACGAACAGCAGAATGATCAACTAAGGAAAGTGGGAGATATAAATACAAACCCAAGAAGTGTTATCCTCTCTACTGTGTGCCTCACTACAGCCTAGCATACAAATATATAGTTTGATACAGCCCACCTCCCCACCTTTCTCTCACGTGTTGCAGCCAAACCCGCCCTGTCCCTCTCGCCTCTCGCGTCACTCCCCCTTCCCATTTTCAATCACACCTCTTGCATACCTCTTCTACACCCCCATTCCCCCGCACCCCCCATCCCATCTCGTTTGCCTTGTTTTAGCTCCTCCATATGTGCGCAGTGGGCTTGCTGGTTTTAAGATCCATGCTCTTACGTGGAGCATACCTTGATGATGTGAGTTCCTTTTATATCAATAACATGCTTGAGCAATTAACAGCATAGCTATGTTACAATGTGGTTTATCATAACAGGCTGAGGCTTGCGTAATACAGGGACTAGAAGCCATTGCTGCCACTGGCGGAAAATACCAGGCGCAGAAAACAAGCATGGCATTTGATTTAACCACAGTACCATACCTAATGCATCTAGCCTAAAGAAAGTCTCAACTCTAGGTCTACCGAAGGTGCACATTTGAGCGTGCTCCTCTCCTCAAGTCCAAGTGATTGTCTAACCTGGTCAGCCCCCAGCACACCATGAATAGAGCTAAGGTCTTCTACCGATCCACTCTGAAACCTCCTCATATGCTCTGTAAGGCCTATGCGAATCGCCTTCCTTGGGCTGTCTGTAGTCGCTTGAATCCCTGATTTTGTGAACCGGCCCGCATCTGCAACGCTAGCATGACCAGACTTTACAATGGGACGCCATTGGGCAAGCGTTGACTCAATCGGGCTGCCACCACCACGAGCAGAGGACGCAAGAGGACCACTGCTGCCAGGATCCACAGCGGGTGCAGCACGCAAAAGAGCAACATCATGAGAAGTTGAGATGGCAGGGGTAACAATCCAGCCATTGTTGGCGAAAGCAGCACCTCCCCCAGCAGAACGATTCGTGGTAACAGCCGATGACTGACTGGGAGAGCGGCTTAGTCCCAATGCCTCCGATGCATCCACTGGAATGGTAGCTTGCTGCATGAGAGATGTCGCTGCAAGTGAAGTTTGGGACACCATTGTTGTGAGTGCCGACAGCATCGTCTTGCTGCTGCCCGAAGGGGTTAATAACGAAGCAGAAGGCTGAGGTAGGCTGGCTGAACCCAACATTGTAGAGCTTGAGGCTGTAATTCTGCTTTGCGTGATTCTCTCGCCAAAGGTTGTACCTTTCTCCATTGGTGCATGCATGGTCACTGGAGAAGAAGGGCCACGCGCCACATTGATGAGAGCTCCGCAATTCACTGCAGTGGAAGCTGCACGGCTCGCCGCACTGATGTCTGCACTCATTGACCGCACTGGAGCTTTCAGGCACCGGATAGCCACAGGTCTGACTGGGAGAGCTGCAGCAATCGTGTCAGCCACCACAGTTGATGCAGCACCAACAGTTGCTACCACAGATGTCAGGGACTGGGATTGGCAAGCGGCGCTGTCATTCACTGGCGGAGGCGCCGTTGCTATGATGGCCGCTACTCCATCACATGTGGAGGCCAAGGAGGACCAACTTCGCTTCTGGCCACTCAAGGAAGCAGCAGTCCAGATGTAGGACGCAGCTGGGCGGCACCAGCACTAGCACTGGGATCAGCAGCAATGGTTGTAGTGGAAGTGCATCGTGCAGCAGCAGCAGCAGCCATGCCGCGGCGAGGGTTCACCCATGACGATGCCAGCGTCTGGTGGTTGTGGGAGTGGCGAAAGGTCGTCGTCGCCTTATGAGCAAGGCCGGGTGATGATGGTGCTTCGCCTGCTGACGTGGATGATGATGGAGAGGGAGTGGAAGGCCCGGCGGCGGTACATGATCCCAGGTTATTTGGAGATGCAGGTGCATTGCTTGCATTGATGTCTTCAGTGCGAACATCCACAATCTTCCTTGCAGGGCAGAGGAACCCCGCACGGCCTTTCTCCGTATTCACTCCGTGGCTGCATTTGAAGTAAAGCCTGCAGGCCGCCAAGATGGAGAGAACACATAAGTTAATATATAAGGGGTTTCCTTGTTTACAAAGATAGGAGCCATAACACAACAAACTATTTAGCCACTATTTTCAGAAACAAGGAATGCAGACAATACCAAAACGTCAGGTTACTCATTCTTGAGTTGTTCAACAAGAAGTTCTTGAACTGTGCCCAAAAACTAGCTCATCGAATACCCAGTAAGCATTACCTTGTGATTGGAGATCCTCCTTTGGACGAGAGCACCTTCTCTCCGTACTTGAGCCATTTAAATATTTCAATCTGGCCCGCTGCAGGTAGCTCCATGGCTGATCCGAGCGGAAAGGAAGAAAATAACTCTCTGAAATATCTAAAAATGGTCCGAGAGTTACTAACACGGATGAGCTGAGTGGACTCCCAGGAAAAAATGCACTGCAGTGCGATGCAGTGCAGGAAAAAATGAGAACTGCGATGCTGGAGAACTGAATGTTCTGTGAAGTCTCTAAATCTGTAAGTTCGTTGGGCTGTGTGATAAGCTGCAAGAAAACCCTAGGAAAGGTGAGGGAGAGCTGGTGGAGGAGGGAGGGAGGGAGCCTTTGGTTGGACGGTGATCACAGCTACAGTATCCTTCGCTTGCCTCGCAGAACAGCAACAGCAGTTTTCGCAACCCGCTCAAGACAAAAGCGAGGTGAGAGGAATGATATCGTTATGTTTGGATTTTGATTCGATAGCCAGGTGAGGGGAATGATATTTCTGTGGTGAACTTTCACGGCGGCCAGACGAGAGTTCATCCAGGGGCCATTCAAACATTACATTCCTCCTTCCTTTTGGCCAGCTTTTGAAGATGGATTTTCTGACATAGTGAGCAAGATTTTCAATTCTCCAGTGGGCATTCATTGACACTCTTAGTAATCGGGGCAAAATTACGTCATCTCAAATACATCCTCCGTCATGCTGCACATTTTTCCCGGCGTAATCAGGATCCAGCCTCCGTCCCTCAACCCAAACCTATCCCTTTGACAAACCCTTACGGGCACCTGTGATCCGTTACAGCCCAATTAAGCGCCATCGTGCTCTACGCAGAGATGCTCTACAGTTTTACCGACTGCCACCCACAGCATCCAGATACACCAATCTCTGCCAATCAAAAAGGTTATCGAGTTACAATCACATTCTCCCCGTGGCAAAGTTGGCGAACTGTCACGAATTCATTTTTACCCGATTCGCTCTAATGAGACGTGGCGAATCAAAATGACTCAACTGGAAACCAGGTGTATCAGAGGTGTCTCAGTGGGTAGGCACAGTTGACGAGCAGCGAAATGCGCGTGAATCTGGGATGCCGCGTTGAAGGGAGATTCGCTTCAACGCGGAAAATCCGGGTTCGTCGTGAATCTGAAATGCTGACGACGAACATTCGTTGGTTCAGCGAAGCTTCACGATGACGTTACACCTGGTCCGCGGTATTTTAACCGCCGGTATCATAACCAAGTTTGTCGGCACGCTGGGCGTTTCTTGTTGGGTGGCCAGAAATCGCTGTTCACACTTGACCGAACCAAGTTGTAGATTGCCAAGCCTTTTTTTGATATTTCAGCTGGCGCCGTCCACGTGGCAAGCAAATTTCCCCATCCGAATTTTCCAAAAAGAATCGTCACCGTCGATGGTTTTACTTTCCCGACTCTGGAACATTCCAGATGGCGAAAAGAGCCGAATTGCTCCTTTTGAGTAGTGCTGTCAAAACTTTCCATGCTGTTCAGATATTTGGTGGTGAAAATAATGACCGAAATTTTGCACCCTTATCTTCACCACGGCCAGATAATCCAAAATCCTGCTACCCATTTTCGCGCGGTTAAAATACCGCGGACCAGGTGTAGTGAATGCGCAGCAGGTCTTGGTGTACAGTTTGAACGGATGGCTAGATAGAGAGCTCACTCACATAGGCGACGAGCACCACAGGTTCCGTTTCTGTGCTGTCTGGCAAGCTAGGCTGACGACGAATGGCTGCCAAGTGCATGGATCTCGACCAGGCTGGCGGGCAGGATCCAGCCAGACAAGAAAACAGAAGAGGACAACCGAGGATCAAGGCGGTGACGCACGGTACATTCTGGCTCAGATCAAATCGTGTTAGTACCTTCTAATTTGAATTACAGCAATATATTGCACTCGGTAGCGTCGGTAGCACTTGGTAGCGCTACCATTTCGCTAAGCGACGCTACCGAGTGAGTCAGCATGCTGACCGCGGGCAGGAAAAAACAAACCCATTCGGGCTGCATGCCATTCGGGAGCCTCAACCCTAAAATTTTAGGGTTGATGCCTCCCGAATGGCATGCCTTCCGAGTGGGTTTTCTTTTTTTCCTTGCTGACTCAATTGGCGTGCCTACTGACGCAGGCAGTGCAATATATCTTCCAATGTGTTATTAGTTGCTATAAACAAACCACTTGTCCCTATTTCGCATCACCCTACATGTACCGCTAACAACACTCTACACACCACCCACTACCATTTCGTCTCATAACCATTTCGCGACATTTGCCTCTCGACCACCGTTCGCGCAACACCTCAGGACACACTTCGACTCGTAACCCGTCGCACGGTCCTACGCCTCGGGCAACTCCAAACCTCGGCGCTAGGCATCTAAAGCACCCTACTAATCCGCGCTCTACTGCTAACATTGTTTCGTTATATGATATTCGCTCATGCCTTCGCTCATATGATATTTTTCCTCGATAGTGCAATCTTGGTCCCTCATTCAAACTTACTGTTACAATTTCAAGTGGGACTTAGCGAAGTATCGCTCAGGGTTGATCGCAGGGTAATGTTGCAGCGGAAGAGTTTGAAACTCAGATCAGAGTGAATGTAAATGACTGAGATTGATAATAGCATGCATACATCGAGTTTAAGGGGTACATTCCCTTATTACAGCGAAGTTCAAACCGTGCGGCGCGGGAACCCGTTTCAATCCTGTTCCCGCTCTTTTCACTTCGAATGTTTCTGCCTGCATCGGTCTTGCTCAGACGGTTACTGTCAGAATGAGTGAAGTGGTTGAACTAGGAAAGTTGGGAGTACAAGTATGAAACCCTAGAGATTGTACCCCCTAAGGCTAAACCCACTACAGCCTACAGAACACAAACATATGTAATGTTTGACACACCCCCATAGGCAAAGTGGGAGACAACCAGATGGTCACAAGACCAGTCAAAGCAAAGCAAAGCAAAGCAAGCTCAGGGTGGATCTCAAGGAAACCACACAAATTCCGAGCACAA